CCAGGTAATCTGCCACCAAATACAGTAAGTTAACTGCTGCTTATAGCTGCTGGCAGCAGGCAGCACTGGGTGCTCAGTAGTAAAGAATTTAAGTTGCTGCCACAGAAGATTCTCCTTTCACCAACAGGAGGCTCCAAGTCATCTTGCCCCTTGAAATGGTACACTGACAGTTTTTGGAAAGGAGTTTAACACGTGGTTTTCAGCATGTTCAAATGTTTCGTTTGCCCCCTCTGTGAGGTCAGGATGAGTTCTGCAGTTGTTCCTTTTTAACATGGATTCAGGAGGGTGGCTCCTCTCCTTAACAACCTGCCTACCAGGCACTTATACCCCCTTCTTTACCAGGCCAATTTTCAGCTTTCAGCTCTGTCGCACTTTGATTGCGCGGTCATGCAAGATTGTACCCATATGAAATTTTTATCATTTTTTCTCACAAATAGAGCTTTCTTTTGGTGTTATTTAATCGCCGCTGGGCACTTTACTTTTTGCGCTGTAAACTAAAAAATTGCAAAAAATTTGAAAAAAAAAAGTTTCTTTGTTTCTATTATAAAATTTTTCAAACAGGTCATTTTTCTCCTTCACTGATGTGTGTTGATGAGACAGCACTGATGGGCACTGATAGGTGGCACTGATGGGCACTGATAGGCAGCACTGATGGACACTGATGGGCAGCACTGATAAGCAGCACTAATGAGGTGGCACTGATAGGTAACACTAATAAGGTGTTATGGATAGGCGGCACTGATAGGTGGCACTGATAGACAGCACTGATAGGTGGCACTGACTGGCAGCACTGCTAGGCATTGACTGGCGCAACTGCTGGGCACTGAGTGGCACGACCGCTGGGCACTGACTGGTGGCACTGACTGGCAGCACTCTCTGGGCTGCACTGATGGGCACTGGTGGGTGGCACTGGTGGGCACAGGTGGGTGGCACTGGTGGCCACAGGTGGGTGGCACTACTGAGCACAGGTAGGTGGCACTTCTGGGCACAGGTGTGTGGCACTGCTGGGTGGCACAGGTGGGTGCACTGCTGGGCACAGGAGAGTGCACTGCTGGGCACAGGTGGGCGGAACTGGTGGGTGGCACTGCTGGGCACCGATCATCAGGGCACTGATGATCAGTGCCCTGATGATCGGTGCCGATCCCTGCTCTGACAACTGCCGGTTCTCGGCAGTACTTTCCTCGCTCTCTGACAGCGTGAGGAAAGTGCAACCGAGAACTGGCAATTGCATTTCCCGGTGATCAACGTGTCATTGGACACAGCTGATCACGTGGTAAAAGGCCGCTGTGATTGGCCTTTTACCACATCACGTGATCAGCTATGTCTGTAGGACACAGCGATCACGGGGATCGCCGGGTGCGCACCCTTGGGGGCGCACAGGAGAGCGCGTTCTGGGAGGACGTCATATGACACCCTCCAAGAACTGGCCAGCCGCAGTGTAGCCGTCATTCGGCTATCTGCAGTTGGCAAGTAGTTAATGCCACAAATCCTGGGTTTGGGGTTCTACAGGAACTATAGCACGAGGGACCCCTCCTCTTCATGCTTCTCCTGGGCCTGCTTTGGCCTCACAGGGATGAAGTTTGGATAAATTAGGCTCTTAGACACCAGGAGGTCCTCCTTTTTCTCCTTTCACTGTGCCTCAATTGCTTGCTCTAATTTCCTTCACAGTGTGTGCTCCAACAGGAACAATACAGGAATGGGGTCACTGATACATGCATTGTCATGGCTCACCATTCAGGTTTCCTCTTCAAATGGTTACAATTAGTGATGGACTTCATGTTCGAGTCGAATGTAAGTTTCACTCAGACATGGGCTGTTCGTGTGTTCGCTGTACAGCAAGGGCAATAAACGTTAAGGGCGCTTGGCAGGCTATTCACTCGCTGTGCCTCACAATGCACTGCACCTTGACAGTGCATTGTAATAGGCGAAAGCAATGCACCTGACCACAGGTCAATGCTTTGGCCAATCAAAGCACATGATCATAGTATTTAAGAACTGTCATCCCGGCGCAGCTGTCAGATGGCGGGAGCCAGCATCAAGAATGGAGCAGTTTTTTTTTCTTTTCTCGGACAGTTGCGGCGGGCATCATGATTGACGTTGGATCTAGTTTGGGGGATTTTTTTTATTTTTGTTTTTAATAAAGGACTTGTCAAAGACTGTCTCCTGTCATGTTTTACTACATATTTTTTTGTGAATGGTTAATGGTACCATACTCATTCACATGGGGGGGGGGCGAGACCTGGGGCCCCCTTGTTAGAGGGGGGCTTCCAGATTCCGATAAGCCCCCCACCTGCAGACCCCCACAACCACTGGCCAAGGTTGTGGTGATGAGGCCCTTGTCCCCATCAACATGGGGACTAGGTGCTTTGGAGGAGAGCACCCCCACATTTTGGTTTTAAAGAAATATCTTGCATTTATACTACACTATGTTGGTCCTCTCTGTATTCTAATCTTTTTATAGGGAGAAATACATCCAGGATGGGAGGGTTGACTACATTCAGAGCAGCAAGGTGCTGTATGATCTCTGTGTGAGTTCTATTTGTTCGGTAAGGAGCCTATTAACACTTTATGGTGGATAGATTATGTAACACCCAGAAGCTGAATATTTTTTTGTGGAATACGCTCTTTTGGAGTTAAGCGTATTGGGACTTTTTTCTTTTCACTACTTGCACATTTATTTTTATGAATTGTATATATGTATGTATTCAGAGAGCACTGTATGTTAGAAAACACCTTTGTGACAGTGTTGATATTTTTTTAAAAAATCAGCTCCCCTTTCGTTTTGGTGTTTATACAGCACTGATCATTTATGCAGCATTTTACATGATATATTGTATATTCAGAAGGACTGTGCAGTTGACTGCATGGACTAATGATGTGAAAACATCACTAGTCCCCATGACGGAGTATGGAAGGTATGATCTTACAAATGAAAAAATGGCAGCTGGGAACCTGCCATTGTAGTACAGCACAGGCTGCAAATTCCAAGATAGGGCAGACTTCACCAGTTGGAATGGCAGCAGCTGTAAAGCCAGCAAATTTGTTAAGCTGGCATTGAGACATTAAGCATTGGATGGCTAGGGATGTATTTTTTCTTATGTTCTAGCAGCTGGGGCCTGGAAAGCTGACTGCTAAGTGATACATTTGGAGATGGTAGTGTGATGTTAGCAATAGTGCTACTCCCACCAAGCTGCTTGGTGAATAATAATATTTCTCTTCATACATTTGGTGCCCAGTTTACCAAGTGTTCCACCATGCTTGGGACAGAAATGATATTGCAAATGATGAAGATTCAGTTTGCAGCACGTGTTGATAATATCCAGCACAACTGAGCAGAACCAGCGAATAACTGTAGCCTGCATCTGTGGAGCTCTGTCATTTGGTGGAATATGGCCAATCCACTTTTTTGTGCTGCCCCTGGATGAGATTCCAATGTTGTGTCTTTTGCTCACTTTTCTCCTGCTATAGTTGGCACACAAGCATGGTCAGAAACCTCATCATTAACCCCCCTCATCACTGGAGCCAACTTGACAGTAAGATACAGCTGCAGGAACATTGGTGCCAATTGGTTCTCCCTTTCTGTTCCCTTTCTCTATGTTCCCATTGCTCTTCTATTTAGCCTCAGATGCAACTCATTGCTGTACATCTGCTTGAAGCAAGTGGCTCATGCTGTACTCAAATAATTCAGCAGACTCCTCTATGCCAGTTTGCAGGGCAATGGCAGGAGTAACTCTGGATGAAGAGGAAAAACAGGATATTTTTGCAGCTGAAGATAATTTCATGCTGCTCTCAGCCTGGGGGACAGAAGAATAGGTTGATGAAGGCATGGCTATCATCCTCTGTGTGCTCTGTCTGTGTAGTACACAACTGTCTGAAAAAAGGCACACATGCCCTGTATTTTGATGCTGCATCATGACCACTGCTCTGACCTGGTGGAAATGGATGCTGCTCACCCCTGACAGCTGCAAAGGAACAACTTTTGTCTTACCTTTTAGGCCTCCCAGACATGATGTTATTGTAACGCTAATGCAAGAGATGTGCCAGAGATGTGATTGACATTACTGCGACCTGAAAGTCGCAAGACATGTAGTGCGACTTTGCCAGGTGATTTCCTGGCAGTTTGCTGGCGACTTGAGTATGACTTTGATGCTTTCAAGCCATGTGCTTGGGTAATTCCTCTAATGTCAGATTCAAATCAGATCATTATATATGAGGATTCGGCTTGGAGGTGGCTTCCATTAAAATCTATGGGCACAAGTCACATAGAAGTCACCATGAAGTAGTACAGGAACTTTTTCTAAAGTCGGAGTGACTTCAGTAATGCTAATTAAGACAGCTCTCATTCACTACCATTGGATTTCACATGTCATGCGTCTTGGGGTCTCACAAGTCAGATTCCAAGATGCGGTAGTGTGAACTGAGCCTAAAACATTAACCACTAGCCTACAGGGCACTTATATCCCCTTCCTGCCCAGGCCAAATTCCAGCTTTCAACGCTGTTGCACTTTGAATGACAATTGCGTGGTCATGCAACACTGTACCCATATGACATTTTTATAATTTTTATTTTGGTGGTATTTAATGATCTCTGGGATTTTTATTTTTTCTTAAACAAACCAAAAACCACTGAAAATTGTTTTCTTAGTTTTTGTTATAAAATTTTGTAAATAAGTGATTTTTTTCCTTCACTGATGTGTAATGGGGCTGCAGTGATGAGCACTGATATGTTGCACTGATGGACACTGATAGGTGGCACTGATGCGCACTGCTGAGGAGGCACTGATGTGCATTGATAGGCATCACTGATGGGCATTGAAAGGCAGCATTCATATATGGCACTGATAGGCGGCACTGACTGGCACTGATAGGCGACTCTGACCGACACTGTTGGGTGGCACTGACTGGCACTGTTAGGCAGCACTGATAGGCAGCACTGGCGGGCACTGATAAGCAGCACTGATGCACACTGATAGGCGGCACTAACTGGCACTGATATGCGGCACTGACTGGCACTGATAGGCGGCACTGACTGGCAGCACTGATAGGCGGCACTGACTTGCATTGATAGGTGGCACTGACTGGCACTGATGGGTGACACTGAAAGGCAGTTCAGATGGGCACTGATATGTGGCATTGATGTGGCACTGATGGGCACTGGCAGGTGGCATGGATAAGCACTGAGAGCTGGCACTGATGGACACTGACAGGTGGCGCTGCTGGGGCTACACAGATAATCAGGGCACACTGATCATCAGCGCTCTGATGATCTGTATACACGTCCCCTCCGAGGAATGCTGATTACCGGCTCTCCTCTCCTCACGAGCTGTCAGCGTGACAACTCGTGGGGAGAGAAATGCCGATAACCGGCATTTCCCTGTTTATTGGTGATTGGACACAGCTGCTCACATGACCGAGCCGACATCTTCGGCTCTTTCCATGGATTGGTAATCTGCTGTGTCCGAGGGACACAGCGCACCGCCAATCGCCGTGCTACGTGCTCCGGGAGCCGTGCATGCGCAGTTAGAATGGGAGGACGTCCTCCCAGAACGAGAGAACCACCTTGCGTCCATCATATTACTATATGGCAGGCGGGAGGTGGTTAAAAACTCCCCCTTTTTTTAAATAAAGGTAAACAATCAAACAAGAAAAGCATGATGTGAATTCATCTGTCACTAAACTCCAACATACTGACAAAGGGTTGTAGGGAAATTAGCCTTGTATAGTGTATGGGCTAACAATTGGTCAAAAACAATCACTGAAAAAAAGTTTGACACCTGATCTCTTCTCAGGTGACACATAACCAAGTCTTTAGCCAGTGAGGGATTTTTGGGCTGGGAAATTGCTGTTTAATGTCCCTAAATTTGGATTTAATCTGAATTGCCCAAAATCAGAAAGTTCAGTCCAAACCTGGATTCTTTCCAAACTCTAAGCTTATCCTTCAATACATTTCTATAGGAAATGTTACAGTGAAGCACAGAGTTACCATTAGTGGCTAATCAGAAAATCTCTTTAAATATAGCAGTGAAATACTATGGTGCTTTTTGTGGCTAAAAAAAAAAAATCCCTATATTTAATACTGCAGAGAGATACAGTGCTCCCTCTTGTGGCTATTTAACAAATCTCTCTATCTTTTAATAAAGTAAAAATGCAGAGGTTCAGGCTTGTAAAAATGTGGAAGCCAAAAATTGCCTTAAAGCTGAATTGTATTTTTTTGCATTTGTTTTGTTTTAACAAATGCAAGGAATTAAAAAAAATAATTGTTTTACCATTAGAGTTTCTACTGGGGATAGCAGAATTTCTGAAAATGTTTTTATCTTGTTTTATAAAGAGTTTTAACGAGTTTTCAAGAAAGCAGTGTACAGAGAGTAAGGTACAAAAAAACAGTGCAAATAGTACATCAAAAAATGAAGCGTACAGCATAAGAAGTCTGGAGTACACGGCAAAGTAAGGTTCAGTCATCTTTTATCTGTGCATTTTATGTGATCCAGGGGTCCCAAACGCTTCAGAACTTAGCATGTGTATTGTCCAGGGTGGAGGTGAGCTTCTCATGCACCATAGTGTCCATTAGCCTCAGTGATATTATAACGAATGGCTGCCTCCATGCTCTGGCCAAGGTCTGCCGTGCAGCCAAAAATGCAAACCCCACCAGCTTCCTTTGGTCCTTAGCGAGGGATAAAATTGGTTTGTGTAGTAGGGCTTCCCAAGGGTTATGAGCTAATAAAATTAAAGGACAGACCTGATCCTGACATAAACCTGTGTCCAAAACCAGTCTTCCTTGGAGCAGGATCACCAGAAATGAAATAAAGAACCCTGTTCCCGCATCCATGGAAGCACCTTGGGGATACAGAAGGATTGGACTTAGATATGCAGTCAGGGGTCATAAACTACAGTAAGAATAATCTATAAGTGTTTTCTTTGGCAATTGTATTTACTTTGAGGAGTGCAAAAATGATCAGGGTTTCTGCCTAGATCAGCCACAGTGTAGGCAAGAGGGCATGGGACTATCAAATCGGTTAAGGAAGCATATAGGTTGAAAATGTTTTTATTGGTGTCTGTGCTATCCTGTCCCAGTGATGACCCCTTTTCCCCATATCTTTTGCTGGTGTCACAAGGCCAGGAAAGGAAGTTCACATAGAGGGAAAACACACACTTATAGACTGCCCGCCCACAATGTACTGCGGGGGGCGGCTTGTACAGGCGAAGCAATGTACTGATACATCGTTCTGGCTGTACTAACACAGGATACAGCGGAATGCAGATTCTGGTTATCAGGACCCGGTGGCATGTGATCACAATGTGATCATATGATCACAATGCTAGCAAAGCTGTTATGAATCAATCTGATTCATAACAGCTTAGCTTCCCTTCCCAGTGAGCTATGATTGGCTGACAGCTCTCACATGGTACATGGGCCAATCACAGCACCCTGAACCATCTGAACAGCTTTCAAAGCAACAACAATTCAAAGCAAGCATTGCCTTGCAGAAACAATAATCTTTATTGCTCCTGCAAAGCAAAAGCAAAAGATAAAAAAAAAATCCCTGATCACCCCCCCCCCCCCCCCCCCCCCCCCCAGAGTAGTAAAATATTACTATGGTAATATTGAACTAATCTGTTGAAAGTATTTTTTCAATAAAAAAAACTAATAAAAACAATGTTAAAAAAATTAAATATTGAGAAAAGTTTTTTTTTGACTACTTGACACCTGCCTGCAATGTCCGGGGCAAGTGGCGTATCTGATCAAAGCACCCTTACGTCACTTTCTATTTCCTGGTGTGAGCGCGCATGCAGAGAAAGAGAGAACACCATACTGTGAGTAAAAGCCCTACATTTTACACACACAAGTTACATTAGCACATTTAACCCTTTGATCACCTCGTCACCTAGTCAGTGCCATTAGTACAGTGTCAGTATACAGAATTTTTCACTGGTCATTGCATTCCCACCACTAGCGACATCAGATAGCATCAGGGTTAATTAGCACCACTCCCAGCCAGGGTCAGCTAGCATTAGATTGCCCACACACTGTTCTCTGCTGTTACATATATGCCCAACAAGGACCAGAAGCGCACTGGTACGTTGGTGGAATTTGAGTGGTTATACCAGGATGCATAATCCTGGTATCATTTTTTTTTCAGCTGGTGGTTGGATTTCATGTAAATGCAATCCTAGTTGCTAATTAGCATCTAGATTGCTTTTACAAGCAGTGGAAAGGGACGCTCCACCCACCTCCCACCACCTTCCATGGCTTTCTCGGGGTCTCCTATCCCGCTGGAGATCTCAGCTGGTAATTCTGCCAGCTGACTATAGAGATGATCGGAGACCAGAATGGCTCCAGTGATCTGTATTTTCTAAGAAACCAGAAGCAACTAGCATTTCATCATTTCAGTTTTTCCATTTTAAAACTGGGAAAGCATCTGATCACACAGTCTTGGTGTGATCAGATGCTTTAAGGGTAGAGGAGAGTTCTAAAGTCTAATGGTTCCCAGATTTCTCAGAAAAGAGTACCAGTCACTGCCTATTGCTGTCACATGGGATATTTACTGTACATTCCCTGTGATAACAATAACAGTGATAAAATAATGAAAAAGAGTGTAAAAATAAAAAAAGCAAAATAAATACTAATAAAAAAAGATCACCCCACCCTCTTGTGCTTGCGAGCAAAGGCAAATGCAAGCATCAGTCCCGTGTTGGTATGTAAACAGAGATTGCACCATGCATGTGAGATATCATCACGAATGTCAGATCGATCGAGGGCAATCATTCTAGCACTACACCTCCTGTGTATATCTAAAGTGGTAACCTGAAAAGGCTTTTAAAGTGTCGCCTACGGATATTAAAAATGTATGTAGTTTGTTGCCATTGCACAGGTGTGATCAGTTTTAAAGAATGTCACGTTTGGTATCCAGTTACTTATTTTTGTGCATTAAAATTCAAAATAGCATATTTTCCCCAAATATTTGCAAATACTGTGTGACATAAAAAAATTTCAACATCCACTGTTATTCATTAGTTGCCTCTGCTTTATATATATATATATATATATATATTATATATATATATATATATATATATATATAAAATGTTTGGGGGTTCAAAGTAATTTTCCAGCAAAAAAATGCTTCTTCATGTAAACAAAAAGCATCAGAAAAGGCTTGGTATGGTGAATATTTTGAAGATCTCATTAGTTGCTGCAAGTTTTTGGAAAATTAAGGAAAAAATTAAAATGTATTTTTTCTTTTTTTTTTTCCTTTTTTTTCAAAACCCTGTGGCAAAAATGATATCTGCAAAATACTCAGTATGACTTTTCTAGTGGTGTCTACTTTCCAGAAAGGGGTCATTTGGGGGGGGGGGGGTTACTATCCTGGTATTTTAAGGCCTCCAAAGCTGTGATAGGTAGTGAAGAAGTGATATATGAGGAAATATGCCCTTTGAAAGCCTAAAGGTGGCCATTGGATTTTGGGGCCTGTATGTGGCAAGGCTTCCAAAAGGTCTCTCACATGTGGTATCCTCAGAAGAAGTAGCAGAATATGTTTTGGGTGTTATTCAACATATCCCCATTGCATGTGTGGGTAATATATCATTTAAGTGAGTTTGTGTAAAAAAAAAAATTGTAATTTTCCAAAAATTTGAGGCAAAAAATAAAATCTTCCATAGATTCAACATGCCTCTCAGCAAATTCCTTGATGTGTCTACTTTCCAAAAAGTAGTCACTGGGGGGGGGGGGGGGGGGGTGTACTGCCCTGGCATTTTAGCACCTCAAGAAATGGGATAGGCAGTCAGAAAGTAAAAGCTGCGTAAATTCCAATATAAGTACTGAATATACTATAGATTGTAGACGCTATAACTTTTACACAAACCAAATAATACACACTAAATAAAGAAAGAATAATGTTTTTCATCTCGGTGGGCAATGTTCCTGTAAGACGGTAAAACTGATCACTTCACCACCTGAGATATGGCTATGGAGTTTGGAGTTTAATCTCCCCTGGCATGTTGAAAGTTTTTCTTTTCTTTTGCACTGGGTGCTGGGGACAACACCCCTGATTTAACTCCCAAACATTATATATGTTTTTAAAGTAGAGGCCTTAGAATTAAATTTGTGAGTGTTGCATTTTTTATGTCACACGGTATTTACACAGAGGGTTTTTAAACACAATTTTTTGGGAAAAAAGTACACCTTTTTGCATTTCAATGCACAAAAACACAATATAATACCCCATTGTTTTGTAAAATTTAAAAGATGATGTTAGTCAGAGTAAATACCAATACCAAACATGTTGTGGTTTAAAACTGTGCACTCCCATGCACCCACAACAAATTACATAAATTTTACTATCCATAGGTGGCGCTTTAAAAAAGCACTTACAGGTTACCACTTTTGATT